GCATTACATGCAGTAGAATACCCAAACTTTTAGACAGTTAGGCCATATTGAAGGATATGATATACTGTAGGGTTGGAACACTCAACCCCCCCCCCACACATCAATGCAGAAATTGCTTGATTTTGTTGAATTAGGTAGTGGCATTTCCTCCACTACAAATTTAATGGTTTTAATGCTGTGATTATTTATTTCTGACCTTATTTCTGAAACCAGATTTCATCTCATAAAAGTGAGGTCGACATTAAAGTAAGGGGAGCTTAAATAAATGCAACCTGCCCCTTATTCATGTATCCACATGTGATACGATAGCAGCATCAATTTGAACTCGGAATAGAGCAGTGAAACATATAATTAGGGGTAATTTGATGGCAAGGAAATACAAATCATTGTAATAGACTTGAAAGGATTCTGACGATGGTGTAAGCTGTACAGAACTATTAGGCTTACTTTGGACTCTGTCCATCGTCTGGTATATATAAGACAAAAGACCACAATGTTTCGGAGACTGAATCTGTCTCTGTCCTTAGGTGGAATGGGGAGGGTAGACCTACTCAGTTGGGCCCATTAGAAAGAGCTAGTCTCAATCACTGGACCAGGGAGTAGGTCTATCCTGTCCCATCTAACTGAGGATGGAGACAGATTCAGTCTCTGAAACGTGTTTTTTTGTCTTATATATACCAGATGATGGGTGGAGTCCAAAATAAGCCTAATAGTTCCGTACAAATCATTGTCTATAAATTATAATTGAGTAGGTGCAGGAAAATATTTGTAGGGTGTATTGTGGTGTTTGATGTACCTTTACTGCCACTGAGCTGTTAATGTTATTACCTTGCTATACCTGTATCATTAGGGGTATGCTCTCTAGACACACATCTTCCAAACTAAATGCATTTAAACTTGCTAGGTGTACACCATCTATCATGAATGTGATGAACTTCAAATCAGGTATCTGTGCTGCCATATTGTACTCTCTGTAGAAGAATTTAGAAAGCACTGCAACTAGCAGGATGGATACATCGCCTGATGGATGTCGCAAGGATAGTAAAAATGGCATCTACAAGTATTCTCAAACCTTTTCTTAGCATATGATAGGAAGAATTCAGTTTTTATTTTATTGTCTTGAGTTATGTATTTAAGGAAAATTACAAAAATAATTCAGCATAGGAGGTATGACTAGCCACTAATTGTTTAATATAGAAAGTATTAATAGAAGTGGTAAATATCAATATGCTAATCATTTCTTATAATTAGTTAGATATTGTGGCTTACTTGATCAGTGCATTGCCTGGCAACAGTTCTGTAAACACGATATGTGCATGCAATAGTAGAGCAAGCTGTGCTTTCCATGTGTCTGGTACCTGGCGCAGGAGTGGTGACATTGCAAATCAACAGTAGGTAGCCATTACACGACATGTGTTTTCTGCGCGTTGACAGCTTGCACATGTGCAGTAATGTCACAGCAACAGTGGGTAGGGGTCACGTGATATGTGTTTACTGTTGATCAATGTCTGTCCCTCAGCTATATAAGTGAGTGAAATTCCTAAGCTGAGAGAGTTCATTTGAGGACAGCTGAGAGAGAGATAGTAGCGGTGGAATCACGCGAACAGAGCAAATTGGAAATAGAATTGTCAGTGACAGTGAGTTACAGAGTTCTGAATTATGGGTGTCTTAGAAGAGGAATAAGAAGTTGACCTGTGAAGATTTAAAGTGTGATTAGACGACTTTATTCATATGTAGTATTTGGAGTTCCTGTGTTTTAATTGTGTTGCCAGGAGAGGACCAGTGTGTGTCTGTATGTGTATAAAATCATTGATAGCACTGTATTTAAATGTAATTAAGAGAGATTGTAACCAAGTTGCTAATAAATCCAATCGTCCGAACTAGAACCCATCATTCTCATACCACCCTACATGTGACAGTATTGTCTGATAAAAATAGTCACACTTCAGTGTAAGTTTTGTAATGTTCTTGTTTCCTCCTTGTTTGACTCACAACAGTGATTTTCATGTTATGTATTTTTTGAAGCTCTTGACTTACAAATTGGTCAGATGAGGGTTTGATATGTGAATGTTGCCAAAATACCGTCAAATCATTCTGTCTTTAAAGGTTCTGTTATGTTGTCATAGCACTGAAAGTCAAAAGTTTGGGTCTCTGCTGCTATTAGCTGAGTAATATAAATTCTGACTGGAATTAATTTGTAAAAGAGAGCCTTACATTCATCCTTCATGCACAAGTATCCATATAGACCAGATAATGAGACCATTTCTGCCCCTCAACTCTTCCTCTCACCTACATGAAGAGAACACTTAGATAGTAAGATGTATTTGGCAGCAGACCTTTGCTAATTGTGAAAGTATGACTTCTGGTTAAATATTAGTTTGTACTATTAATTAAAAAAAGGATTTAGTCACTTTTGCCTGGAATTACATGCAGTGGTTTTGATCACCAAGGAGACTGCAAGCCATTCATCTTGTTGAAAGGATATATTGAAATGTTGCTCTAGAAATATGCAGTGTGTAAATGAAGAGCACAGTGTATTTAGTAACGGTAATTAATGATACTGTTTTGTCTCATTATTATTTTCTTACATAGTCTGTTAATGCATTGGTATCGGAATTGTAATGTTGTCATGCATTTAATAATGTCCTACGCCCCAGACCATAAGATTACTTTTTAATGCAGTTCACTTTTCAGTGTTATTTTACATCAGTATGGGTGACCATTAGCTGAATACACTTTGTGTGTGCTGTAGTACAGTTATATTTGGAGTGTGTAATTCAGAGAGACTTGTGTAGCTACCGCGTTATTAATACGCGAAGACTCTTGAAGATAGTGTGAAGAGATTTGGTTGTAGGGTTTATAAAGTGTGGAAACCTGTAACATTGTTATAATTAATTGTAGCCGTTACTTGTAGGTTGTTGAATAAACCAATTAATAATCCGTCCGGATTGTTAACTGGTTTATTCAACAACCTACAAGTAACGGCTACAATTAATTATCACACAGTTGCGGGGTTTCACACTTTATAACCCTAATTGCAATAATCTGTTTACACTGTTTGCGGGGTTTCACGATTTATAACCCTATTCGCAAATCAGTTCACTCTGTCTTCAGTAGTCTACACGTTTACAGTAGGGGAGCTATGTATCACTGTATCACACGCTCCCAATTACACAACTACACACACGTCCGGTTCTTTTTTCCGTGAATGCTGCTATACTCCAACTGTAGGCTGCTGACTGGAGAACTGTCTTCAGCTGCTGATACACTTTAACTCTCTCCGGGGACGGCTACAAGTTAGCTCGATTACAACTGAACTCGCTGACGGCCACATTACAGCTCACTCATGCTTACCGCTCAGCCGGCTTTTATTCCGTTCGCTGTTGCCTGTTGTCCGCGTCAACAGCGTCGTTGCGTGCCACGTCACAGTAGGAATCGGTGCCACATTGCCATGTTTGCATATAGCCAAGCAACGCTGTTACCTCACGCTGTCTTACGTCACCGCGCATTGCGCGTTACGTCACCGCGGAAGGGGGGAGGGGAGGGAGCGCTGACTCACCCGCCGCACTGCTGTTGGGGGGGGGGTTCCTCCGTTGCGCAACACGTGACAGTACCATGGAGATGCTTCATTTCCTTTCTACTGATGGATAGTGCTGAATTACCAAAATTTAATCCTGAGTAAGAAACTTAACCAGTCCTTTGAGATTTATATGTCTGAGTGTGAATGTGTTAAGCTGGAAAGCATTTGTGCAGTTTTTTTTTGTAAGGGCCATGTGCTCTTATAGTATTCCACCTACAATTCTTCTTGAAGCTGTTACTTCATTGCTTAAACATCATGATATGTAGTATAGGAACTTTTAATCCCAAATCTGTTATTCTGTGTCTTTTAACTCTTTCACTCTTAGTTCAGAAAAGTATCTCCAGTTTGTTCAAGACATAAATAACCATTCTTAATACAGTCACTAGCCAGCTGTCTCTTGTAACTTAACTGTGTTTTTCATTTGGTTGTACAAAAGAAAATGTGCTAACTCCAAGGCTATAAAATATGGGTGTGTCTCATTCTGCACATCTTCATTAGGAACTCAGGCATTTTTATTAGTCTCTTGAAGCAAATTATAATTCCTGAAAGCTGGGTATACCAATATCTGCTATATCCAAGTTTAGGAATTGTCACTGTATTGGTCAAGCCATGACATGCTTGTTACAGGTTTTGCAGCAGCAAAAGGATCAACAGTTACAACAGCAGTTACAGCAGTTTCAGTCCATTCAACAGCAGCAGCAGCAGCAACGAATGGCTACGTCATCAGCAGTAGGGTTAACTCCAGTCCCAATGCAACAGCAAACATTGTCTTCCTTGCAGGTATCTGCAGCAGGAGGACAGCTGCTACAGCAGCAAGTCCTTACCTCATCTCCTGCAAGTGGTAATGTGGTGATGACAGGTATGGACATTACATACGAGTGCAGTTTGTCACCCATAGTGTGTCATGTTCAGTCTCAGTCTACATCTCTTGCTATACTGGCAACATCTCATAAATTGTAGCTATTTTCTGTATTTGCTGTGCACCCATGTCTCCCAGAGGAAACCTAAGTACTAAGTGGTAATGTTTATTACCAGTTGAGATGGACAGCAGAGATGCTAACTTATGGACAGCGTCTCACTTTTTATTGTGCATGAGCAGTCAGGTTTGGAGTGGTAGATCAACTTAACTGACGTCCTCGTGTACTGTCTGTTCCACCTTGAAGTCCTTCAGCCTGAAATTTCCTCATATTATGGATAATCTTGTCTTCATTAGTTTCAGTTATTTCCATGGATGTGCCAGAAACAGTTCAAACAGTTATGAATAACATAGTATTGTTCAGTGTACAAACATCTTCCATTTCTGAAACCATAGTGTGAAAAAGGTATAGCACAGCCTACTCAGAACATGTATAGTACTTCACTGAATGGACATAAGGACTTCGAACTTGCCTAAATGTCTCTAATCATTCACTGAAATTGACCTCTTTGGGAGTACAGTGGTGAGTGACTGGAAATGAATAGCTTCACTGCTTTGAATTGAAGGATCAGTCCTAGTAAATTTGCTAGTACCCACACTTTTTCTTTGTTATGTAGAAGATAGAAGCCTTTGTTGCATAGAAGTTTGAAAAATAGAGGTTTTATTATATGTTGTAATTATGAGAACAGTTATTTACAAATAGGATTATCTGTTACATTGTTTGCTGTGTTATTTGTTACTGATTCCTGTTCTTTTAATTTTGAACAGGGCAAGGTGCTATGTTGCAACATCAGAGGACAATGCAGGTAATTCAGCAACAAAGAAGCATGCAGGTGGTACAACAAGATGGTTCTCAGGTGCAGGTGATGCATCAGCAGAGGGTGATACAGCAATCATCACCCCATCCACAGCAGCAACAAATACAAGTGCAGCAAGGACCTCCTTGGAGACAGGCTATTGTGAGTAAAGGCAGGGTGGTTTATACTTTAATCAAGGAGTTGCATGCCACATTGGTCATTACTGTTAACATATTCAGCATGTTTGTTTTGTGAATACATGCTGAAAGATTTGTGTATGGTAGATTGGTACTTGCTTCCAGAAGGAAATTCTTTATAGTTCTGGTATAGTTTGGACAGTGCAATCAAGAAGGTGCAATGGATTGTGCATGTGGCCACTACAAGGGAGACCAGAAATGCATGCAAAAAATCTCTTGGAAAATATCTACTTGGAAGACTTAAGCAGGAGATGGAAGGAAGGGAATTAAGAATTGGTCAAGGGAAATAGGGTGTGAGGGCAAGGAGGGGACAGAAATAACTTAGTTTGGGATTGTGTTCAGTAACAGGTTTCGGTGTTAAGGGTGTTGAGCCTTTAGGTTCTGTTACTATAGTGCTGTTTAATTATTTAATGCTTGTTTGGTGAGAATGCTTTCATATGTCAACAATTTTGGCATCTGCCCACTGAGGCGAAGGAACTAATTTCTGATGCCCAAGGGTTCACAGAATATTGTATGTGGATGGCCAGAGCATTGCTAAATAATGGATCGGTAAACACCTAGCGATCGAATACACACAAGCAACAATGGAAGATGTGTTTCAGTGGAGGAATTTTATTGCATGTTGCTAGGCAACAGCACACCAATGAAGACGCTGGCTAGGAATCACGTGACTTGTCTGTTTGGTCTTTCTTATGCAACAGTGGAACTGGGTTTTCTTTGTGTTTCTGTACAGAGGCTATATAATGAGAATAACACCAGCAGTTCAGTAGTTCTTGGTAGAAGACAGCCAAGGGAAGTTTGTAGAAGTTCTGTGAAGACTTAAAGTGTGAATTGAAGACTTTGTGTGTTGTAATTACAGTATTTTTGAAAATGTTACATTTATTTGTAGTTACAACTAGTGATGATCCAATAAACTGATTCACAAACCCAAAGCTGCCTCTTAGTCACTGTGACACATGACAGCTGGTGTCAGAAGTGGTATGGATTGGATTAGAGTGATCAAGTATTGGAACAAAGATCTATTTTAGAGTGACATCCAACAAAAATTGAAAACATGGAATTCCTGAAAGCCATGCTGACCAAAATGAACGCAAAAATGGACAAGACCCAAGAAAAAATGAAACGCCATTACTAAAGAAATGCAAGCAAAAGTGAAAGACAAGATGGAGAGTCAGCTAGGTTTTCTAGTCTCCAGAGTGGAGGAGGCTAGAAAAACCAATTGGGAAGAAATGAAGGCTGTAGTACACTCCATACAGTCAGATTTTGATGAGACACAAGTCAAAAACATCATGAAGCACATTAACCACAAGATACAGAGTCTCCAGAAAGCCTGCCAAGAGATGACTGCCTGCTACAAGAGACAGAGGCATATACAGAGAAGCTTCAGTCCAATCCAAGAATGGTGCAGTCTGTAGTGGGGCAAAAAGAAGTCCCCAAGTAATAAGCTGCAGTGATGCCGGCTGAAGGACTGAGGAAGCGGTGTGGGGACAGGAATCTGGCCGTGGGGCGCCTGCAGAAGCCAAAGGGAAGGACCCAGGCAAGTTGTGAATCCAGGAAGAGATTGACCATTGCTGGAAGGAGGTTGACCCACTGTGCAGGAGTGGCATGGCTCAGGAGAGGCGTCATCAGAAGGGATTGCACCAGGGCCAAGGATGAGCGAGCAACCCAAAGAGTAGGGCCACTGAGAAAGAATTTATGGATGCACCATGAAGGAAAAAGGGGAACAAAGGATCTAGGTGGCAAGCGGTCACTATACGTGAATCTGGCCGTGGGGCGCCTGCAGAAGCCAAAGGGAAGGACCCAGGCAAGTTGTGAATCCAGGAAGAGATTGACCATTGCTGGAAGGAGGTTGACCCACTGTGCAGGAGTGGCATGGCTCAGGAGAGGCGTCATCAGAAGGGATTGCACCAGGGCCAAGGATGAGCGAGCAACCCAAAGAGTAGGGCCACTGAGAAAGAATTTATGGATGCACCATGAAGGAAAAAGGGGAACAAAGGATCTAGGTGGCAAGCGGTCACTATACGTGAGAAAGAAGAGGGCAACCGTGATCGGCATCAGAGGGTGCAGCTCAAGACAGCTGTCACCTCTGGGAAGAGGAGGACCGACCTACAAGACCCCAGAGAAGACCCCAGAGCTGGAATTCATGAAGTGAGCAAATGGGATGTCCAGCGGGTTTTGGAAAATGAGGAAATGGACCTTGTGGAGGGGTCGACCCTCTCCAAACTGGAAGAAGAACCTACTAGTATTACTAGAAATGTTAGCGTAAGAGGAGCTGGAAATGTGTGAACACCAGAAACATGGGATAATTTTGTCCTCCATTTGATGGTGAGAAACTGGATGTGGATGGTGGATGTGGTGTTCGAAGAATGGAACATCAGGGAAAAAGAAAAGAACATCTTGCAGGAAGACATTGAAAGCACTGCCCCTGGAATGGAAGGAAAGGTGATACACAGTTAGGCTATTTGGGATGAACATCCATAAGAAAGGAGCAATGTAATGTGGATGCCCAGACCATTGCTAGGTAATGGACTGGTAAACACCCATGACTGAATACACACAAGGAAATAATGGAAGATGTATCTCAGTGGAGGAATGTTACTGCGTGATGCTAGGCAACAGCACACCAACGAAGACGCCGGTTATGAATCACGTGACTTGTTCTCTGTGTGGTCTTCCTTATGCAACATGGTTTTCTGTGCATGGTCTCTGCAGAGGCTATATAACGAGAATAACACCAGCAGTTCAATAGTTCTCGGTAGAAGATAGCCATGGGAAGTTTGTTGAAGACCTGTGAAGACTTATCATGTAAATTGAAGACTTTATTTTTTTTTTAAATTTGCTTAGTGGGGTGTGGAGTCCAACTGGGTCCACTCCACACGGCGGCCACTGATTGGCCTATTGTAGCCTGCCCCGGTTGATTATGATGATAGAGAATTTGGTGGAATGAAGATTGGCAGGGGAAACTGAAGTACTCGGAGAAAACCTGCCCCAGCGCCACTATGTCCACCACAAATCCCACTTGACCAGACCCGGGATCTAACCTGGGCTGCCATGGTGGGAAGCCAGCAACTAACCGCTTGAGCTATGGCGCGGCCTAAATTGAAGACTTAGTGTGTTATAATTACAGTAATCTTGAAAGTGTTACAATTATTTGTAGTTACGAGTAGTGATGATCAAATAAACCGATTCACCAATCCAAACCCATGTCTTAGTTACTGTGACAGGTGACAATATTATGCAACTGTTTATGACTGAATGAGAGTTTGAATGATGGCTTGTAAATGGGATATATAATTTAACATGGACTCTGAACCAAAAATTGGGCACATAGTATTATTTTACATATTCCTAGAAATAAAATGAATGATTTATTCTGTGTGCTAAAAAATTCACACCGATATTCCATCATAGATTGAACATGGTGGCCCATTTGGTAAGAGCCTTACATCTTAAGCAAGATGATCCAGTTGCCTTATCTGGTATTGCTGTGTCACACATAGCATAACACTGTCTTTCATGAAGAAAGCAGTCTTCTGGGATTTGGCACCGTGTATATGTGGTGTTAACCGACGTTTCGGAGGAACGTATCGCCTCCATCTTCAGGGTAGAAGAAAAATATAAGAAATCTGCAAGCGAAGAGACCGTGAGGACAGGTTCTCACGGTCTCTTTGCTTGCAGATTTCTTATATTTTTCTTCTACCCTGAAGATGGAGGCGATACGTTCCTCCGAAACGTCGGTTAACACCACATATACACGGTGCCAAATCCCAGAAGACTGCTTTCTTCATAGTCACCGCCGTGAAAGCCTCAAATCTTACATTGTCTGTCATGTTTTTAATTTTGAATAAAATATCTGAGATTCACATATATTTGGAAGTGGTGGTGGTGGTCATGGTGGATTTTTTGTGGCAGTTGCGGCGGGAAGGGCAGTAGCTGTGGGGGGGGGTTTGGTGGCGGTGGTAATATTAATAATATTGATGATGATAAAAAAAATAAAAGAAGGTATTGAATGTAGGAATGATAATAATGAAGAATTAATGGTACTGCAAATTACAGACATGTGAAACTTGTATATATACAAATCTGATATTGCACATGTTACTCATTTTGATGTCACTAATAATGGGATGTTGATGTCAGTCATGCGAATTCAAACCACATAGCTTGTTATTTGAAATATACTACCATATTTTCTCTCTAATGTTACACCTAGCTTATGCATGGTTCATTCAGTTATCCTTGACTGCACAAGAATTCATTTGGAATCTGCCCCTTTTACTATAGTACATACTATGTTTGCATTGATATGTTACTTTCTGTGGAATGAGCTTGTACTGAGTCAACAGCTACTCCTTCAGAACAGGCAGAAGCTATTTTTAGGAGAAGTGTTCTTATAATGATTACCAGAGGCAGTTAAATGTGGATTAGTTTAATGTCCTTGCAGTTTTGCTGGGGTGGGGTGTTGGAAGTGATAATCATACAACATTTTAAAAGTCCTTGGGCTTGTATTTCGTCTCTGACATCTGATTTATGTATGTATTTTACATTGGGGAAATGACTCAACTGTAGGATGCTAGGATAACTAAATTTAATTGGAGTAACAGGCGCAGAAAGTATATTAAAGGGGGGGGAGAGACTGAGGAAGGCCTGTGTATGATAGAGAATTGAATGTCTTCGAAGTGTGATCAGTTTTGTTATACAGGATCAAGAACCTGGTTAGAAAAATGATTTTGTAATATCCTGCCCCCACCGTCTATTTTATTGTAACAGTGGAAGGAAGGAGACCATTTCATGAGTAAGCAATAATGCAACTAGAAACCCTACGTATCTGTGGTAGGATATGTAATCTGTACAGTTGGTACAGTAGTGTTAATATTTTTCATTTAGCCACCACAACAGCAACAAACGCAACAAATCCAAGTACAGAAACAGCAGTTTGTAATAAGAGAAGGTCAGCCACAAGTGCAGCCACAGCCTAGTCAGCAGTCTCAGACGCATCAATATACAGTGACTGTACAGCGTGAGGTAGTTGCGGGTACAGCTGGTCAGCTGACATGGCAGCAACAACAGCAACAGCAGCAGCAGCAGCAGCAACAGCAGCAGCAACAACAGCAACAGCAACAGCAACAACAGCAACAACAGAGGCACTACCACCTTCAGCAGCAGCAGCAGCAGCAGAGACAGCAGTTACAGCAACAGCAACAACAGCAGCAACAGCAACAGCAACAGCAACAGCAGCGTCAGATTGCATGGACTCAGCAGCCACAGGCTCAGGTTAGATTTATTATGTAAAAATAACATGAAAGGTAATTAAATTGAACGGAAATCTAATTAAACTGAATCATACTGAACTGACCTTCAGATTGATATGTCTGTAAAATATTAGGAAGTACCTTCTCAGAATCTGAGTTGGAGTTCAGCCATTAGTTTCCTCAATTCTTCTAGGCAGAGGCTGAGAAAGACTAAACTAGGCCATACCTACTTCCTTCCATGTCCTTCCTAATTTATTATTCCACCATTTTTCAGTCAGCACTGCGAGATATCTACATTTGATGCAGGATCATAAAATAAGCAAATAACCAATGAGAATATCTGGGCACTGGACGTGTAGAACTTACAGGGCACATAGCATGTCCTGTTATACTGCACAATAGAAGAAATTAATATTTGTGGAGGAGGCTAACCTGTATGGTGATCCTTGTCATGGCAGTATGATGCATCCTCTGGGTGTGGTCGGAAGAGATGGTCTCCAGAAGTAGAGTGTAGCTTTGAATGTATTTAATGAGCTGTTATGGAGAGCTGATAATGGGGTGTGTTTGAGCCTCAGCTGCTAAGGTTATATAGTGTTGAATGATTTGGTGATTCTGAGTGTTCAGAGTATTGGTGCCTGGTGACTGAATAAAAGCACACAAAATCTTAGGATAGCTGATCTCTAGGTCAACCCAGGATCTCCTAAATACAAAGTAGCAATGCTGACAAAGAGGGAGAAATTTTTTTTTTAATCATTATAGTGTCATGTACATCTGGAACAGATATATATTTCCGATGGTTTTCTAACTTTGTCATAACTCCAGATTTCTTACAAAGGCTAACTCTTTGGTACTGACATTAACCAAGCCTTTGATTGAGCTTGACATTGGAAGTTCTTCTTGTCTGTGTTCTCTATAGGGTCCTCCACGTCACCTGATCCATTTGGACCTTCAGACTCATGCACAATTACAGCAGATGGATCCACAACAGAGAGCCATTTTCTTTCAGAAGATTCAAAAGCAACGACAGATAATTTTGCAGAGACAGTTACAAGTATGTGTATCATATACAGCATACTTATATAAAACTTAGCTTCAATATAATGAGAGTTTGCAAAGTTCTTAAAAGTGCTCACTATAATAAGTACTTGTAGTGTCTGAAAATGGTTGAAATACCTAGTCTTAAAGGCCAGCTTCTGAATGTATAGTATATTATATTATATTTAAGCATCCTGTTGCACTCCATACGATAAATGATATAAACTCCGTCTCAAGTGCAAACAGTATATTTGTGTCTTTGATCTTGCTCCCTACACTACATGTTTCGGCCTCAGACGGCCATCATCAGGTGTATAACACTCACGTCGCTGTCACACTGCACCCAGTTCAAAATTTAACATCTAAAACACTCTCCCTGTCATTATCAACTTCTACTTCGTTGATAGNACGTAGTAAAGAATAGCAGCGGCACGCACACAGAAAGACTACACAGGATAACACCTATACAGTGTGGAAACAAGAACTAGCCGCTGCAGCACTTCAAACACAGGGCGAATAACCCTAACAATTTTAAAATTTTAAAATTTGGACAAGAATTTAAAGGTTTAAAATTAGAACTAAAGATTTTATTATGGTGCTATTACAATAAACTCAAAATTAACGTGTGTGAAGTAATCTACGGGTGGACAGCTATCAACGAAGTAGAAGTTGATAATGACAGGGAGAGTGTTTTAGATGTTAAATTTTGAACTGGGTGCAGTGTGACAGCGACGTGAGTGTTATACACCTGATGATGGCCGTCTGAGGCCGAAACATGTAGTGTAGGGAGCAAGATCAAAGACACAAATATATTGTTTGCACTTGAGACGGAGTTTATATCATTTATCGTATAGTATATTACTGTGTGGTACTGAGATTCAGAAGAAATAATGCAGGCACCTCAGTATTTTTTATACTGATCAATTTGTATTGAGACTTTCTTGCATTTCTATGAATATCTTGAGCTGAATATTTATCAACTTGAAAAATGATTTGAAGAAGAGTTTCAGAAAAAAGTGAAAAACATTTTAAGTTTAGTACAGTTTCACCATATGTTTTGCGGTTCCTGACATAATTGAACAATTCAGATGATAGTGTACATTTCCAAATTCTTATATTCAACAGTCATTATGGTCTTTCAGTCACACGTGAAACTTGGATTATCTGTGTGTTTCAATTAATGTTTCTTATCCCTTTCATTAGTACTGATAATCAGGAGTATATTATATAGCAAGGTGGAATTCCTTATTTACTGTGTGAAATGTCTTGTCCTGGATCTGTAAGGCACAAAGACAAGCCCAGGCACAGCAGCAGGGAGTAGTACCGGGAATCCCTCGCCAACAGTTGATACAGCAGCAGCAGCAGCAGCCACAACCACAGGTTCTTATTCGAGGTCAGCTCCCTGCTGGCCTGACACCTCAGCAGCAGCTGCAGTGGTTGCAGCAACACCAACAGAGACAACTTCAAGGACAGGCTGCTGTCATTAACCAGCAGCAACAACAACAACAGCAACAGCAGCAGCAGCAGCAGCTTCTCCAACAGAACCCACAACTTCGACAGCAGCAGGTTAAAATACAGTGCAGCATTCTTATTTCCTTATATGCACAGTCAATGGGAGCTGGGCTAGTGTAGTCAGTTCCCCAGGGGTAAAGTGGCTGGGGTGTGAAGCTGACCCCTCACCTCCAACTAAGGCCGAGGTCAAGAAAATGTGGATCTGTACATCCACTCTCCCATACACCTTCATGGCCTAGTGCTTAATTAGCTAAGGACAGGGACAGCTTTACCTATATGCACGGTCATTATGGTCCAGCCCCTTATGCTGTATTCTCGACTTCAGTACATAATTCACGCACATTTTGTTCCAGAATTTTGTATATATACTTGGCTTTGTGATTTAGGTGAGGGTTTATGAGAATACTTTGTCATGTCTGATGACTGATGGTACACTGCTTGGATTTTATAGTTGCTATTATCTCTTTCAGACTTTGGAGACAATATCTGTCATCAAAGTTGTCTCATACATGGAAATGGAATGCATGACATGTATGGGTATTTATGTTGTCTTAATCTTGCAGTGACAAATCATCAAATGTGAATTATGGAGTGAAATAATTTAAATCATGGGAACTCTGTACAGAATAATAATATCACATATGGAAGGTATGTGAAGGAGCCAGGATGGCATAATCAGTATAGCAACTGACTACAGGCTGGATGACCAAGTCCCAGTAGGATCAAGAATTCTCACTTCTCCGTGTCATTCAGACTGGCTCTGGCGTCCACCCAACCTATACAGTAGGTACAGGGGGCTCTTTTCACAGGGTAAAGTGGCTGGTGCGTGAAGTTGACTACTGAATTCTAGCTAGTGCCAAGGTCAGGAAAATGTGGATCTGTACATCCACTCCCCTATACACCTTCATGACATTAGTTAAGCACAGGGACAACTTTACCTTATTTTTTGTAGGAGGTGTGTGACTGTAGATGGGGTTTGGTTTGGAAATTTGATTTATTGACCACTTATACACTCACAACTTGTGACTATACTTTATACAGATCACTGACACACGCAGACTAGTGTCCTCGGTCTATTACAGTCTCCACTAGCTGTTTCCTGACAATGGATTTTGACACAGGAACTATAACAGTCTTGCTGAATTACATGCTCCAAATATCACAAAGTTTTCTCTTCACAGCCTCCTGCGCAGAACTCAGCTGAACTGAGTCACCCCAGTTGTCTTCAAGGTAACTCCTCGGCATGTACCATGCAGGAAACAGCCCCTTTATTGTTGTAGAGGTGTGTTGATTGGACTGTTCCATAGAAACAGTCATGGCGAGGACCACATAGAGAACACCCCACATCCAACAGTAACTGCATTGTTGTGTGTGTGTTTGTTGCCACGGGAATGTGTTTACCAAGCCATTATCCAGAAATAGTCATTGTTTATGGAGTTCCTACTTAGCAGGGGGTCTCTACATCACATTGCTCCATCCTTAAGGCTGCTTGTTTCGAATAGCCTACAGGCATTCTGCCATTTCTTCTTTTGTGAGGGCTGCACATGTGATGTCTGTGACCGGTCTTGATTTCCTTCCCATGGCCCAGTTTTATGGTGACTTCTTTCCATGTGCTCTCGCTGCTCCCTCTTTAAGGCTGCTCATCCCAAGTGGTACCCTCACAGGGTGCCAGTTAGTTCAGGTTTATTACCATCATCATCTCCGGTTGGTGAAGCCACAAGTTCTGAGAGTGGTCAATGCCTGTACATTTATGGCTCCTACTTTGTGTGCTATCTCTTCTTTTGTTCTGGCCCAAATAAACCTTAAATGGGAATTTCACTTAATATTAAATGATAGCGAGTTTGAAGAACAATTATTTTTATAGGTTTTAGTGCAACAGCAGGGTCCACTTCGCCAGCAGCAGTTGATACCAGCAGGGCAGAGTCCCATAGCTCAGCAACAGCAGCCTCAACAAGCTACACAGCGAGAATTGGTAGTCACTGGAACTGCTCCTGGAATAATGCAGACCCCACAGCAACTTCAGACTACAGGTGCTTCTGGTACTTGGATTCCCCAGCAGGCTGAGAATGCTGGTACAGGTAGGTTTGTTGAAACATCAACAGTAAAAGTGAACTTAAGAAACTTTGTAATATAGAAATTCTTTGTAATACTCATCTCTGCTCTGGAGAAAATAAATTTATAGCGTTCATTAAAGCATTACCAAACCTCAAGCATACTGAACAGGTTGGCACAGTAGTATTACACTTAATTTATATTCAACAGGTACCCAGTTTGAATCTGAGCTTAAGTGCTGGATACTATAACAGGTTTTCTCCTTTCAAGAAAATGCCAAGACAGCACCTTAAAATTTGGCCTTAATCATATTTATGTCTGTTTCACCATCCCAAATTATCTGCCCATTCCATTTCATATAAACCTCTACAGTTAATGGAGTGTTTTTAAATAACCCACCAGCCAACTGTTTCTTGTGTTCCGCTATTTTAGGAGCAAAATTATATTTGAAACCTTAGAAACTTTTGAAATGCAGGTATTCAGATTTCTGCAGGATTGCTTTCAATGACCATTTGTAATGCTGAGGAGTTGCTTTTGATTTTTGCCATATTTGCAACAAGAAGTTACAAAAACATACCTATTAGTGTAACATTGTCTGTCTCTCTGTCTTTTGTCTTGTTTGCATATAACAGCTTGAGAACTGCGGAATGGGTTTACATGAAATTTGATTCTTTGTCAACACATCTGAACTGTGTTAAAAATAAGAAAAAAGAAAACAGTGAACACTTTACATGAAGAGTTACACATATTTCCGCTTGCATCTCAAACACAGTTTGCTCAATATTTATTAGAGTGAAAAGCGTTTTTAATGGAGGTGTAAGGCAAAATGAACACACATTTCATGACCAATGCAATTCTTTCATAAGTCTTGTGGTTTTGAGGATAATTAAACAATTAGTATGACAAAATCATGACATAGTGATAGGAAACAGATGTTTTGAAAATGTGGCACACTTCAGATATTTGGGAACAACGATAACAAATCAAAACCTGATTCAGGAGGAAATTAAGAGGAGATTGAACTCGGATAATGCTTGCTACCATTCAGTCCAGAACCTTTTGTCTTCCTGTCTGCTGTCCAAAAATATAAAAATTAGAATATACAAAACTATAATTTTGCCTGTGCTTCTGTATGTGTGTGAAACTTGGCCTCTGACATTAAGGGAGGAACATAGACTGAGGGTGTTTGAGAACAAGGTGTTGAGAATATTTGGACCGAAGAGAAATGAAGTGACAGGAGGTTGGAGAAAACTGCATAATGAGAAGCTTCATACTTTGTACTCTCCTCCAAGTATAATTAGAATGATCAGGTCAAGGAGGATGAGGTGGGCAGGTCATGTAGCATGAATGGGGGATATAAGGAATGCATATAGGATATTGATGGGAAAGCCAGAAGGAAAGAGACCACTGGGAAGACCAAGGTGTAGGTGGGTGGATAATATTAGAATGAATCATAGAGAGATAGGATGGGATGGATTGGATAGATCTGGCTCAGGATATGGACCAGTGGAGGTCTTTTGTGAACACAGTAATGAAGTTTCGGGTTCCATAAAATGCTGGAAAATTCTTGAGTAGCTGCAGAATTGGCGGATCCTCCAGAAGGGCTCAGTTCCATGAGTAAGGAAGTAAGCGGTATTAGCACAGCGTATGTTTTTTAAGAATTGTTACACTTTGTACATATTCTTTTTTTAAAATTTGTTTTGCATGTGCAGAGCTTTATATCTCCACTACTCCTGTCCTCCTTCATGGCATAGTCGTTTATATATATGCTATATTTGTCTCTGCAGATGTTATGTTGCTGAAATTTCTGAAATTATCTGTCTCTCAAGAAGCATGATGATTCCCATGAGTTACACATTAACATTGTATATTACTTTACTAAACAGATATTGGGCTTAGGCGGCCCATACATGTACGAGTCTGGTTCAGTGAGGAGCCATGCTTGGATTAATTTCAGCACACACTTATGAGCGTGACGACCCACACACAGACGAGTTTGGCTCATTGGAACCTGAGCCGAGTTGGACTCGCAAGCCAGACTCGTACGTGTATGGTCCCCCTTAGAGACAACAAACACTTCAGAAATATAAAGTGGTGACATAATCCATAATCTCAGCTCCAGTATTAGGAGGATATAGAGCCTGAGCAAATCAAAGATAGATACCATGAGAACTTTCACAACATCATTATGTTGTCAGTGTACCTCATGTTCATGTATATTTTCTCAAGAACTTTGTTGTTAAGAACAGGTTTATGCATTAGTAAAGTACTAGACATGTGTTAAGAAGTACTTGGTCCCAATCTTGGCCAGTTTACTGGCCAATTCAGGGTTTTTTTGCTTTTACTGACTATCCAGATGAAGGCTAGGTTAGTATCATACAGTAGGGCACTACACAGCTATCTAAATATTTATTCAAATTTTTGTATGAAACGCTCTCAAGATTATGTAGATGGAAGAAGACTATTTGGGCACCCACATAGAATGGGAAACTTACATCTCTGAAACTTCAGAAATTTATTATTGAAAATCTTCTATAACTTGTAAAATCTGTTTAAGTTAATTCTGACTTGTATCATTCCTGTTTTATATGAAACTGAATTCATACTTCATAGACTTTTTCAAAAAGAGCCCATTGTAGAAAAATTGGTACACAAATGAAATGTGAGCTTCCTTGTTTGAAACTCTTTTTAATATACAAGGGGGGACCCAAAAATAACCGTAACCGACCTGTTGCGCGCGCATGCTTTGTAGTTACGAGTTGTGCTGCTAGGTGGTGTTAGCTGGGGGTCTCCCACGACTGTTAGTGAGCTGGTGTCAGTCTGAGTTAAGTGGTTTGTCTGTGGTGCTCTGTTGTGTGCGTTCCTGTTTCAACCCTTTGGCGATTAGTGAGATGGCCGACCAGAAGGAACAAAGAGTGTGTGTGAAATTCTGGATCGTTCTGCACTTCACTCTTCAAGTCGCGGCAAACATTCACGCGGTTTTCTCTTTGGTCATCTCCGAGCAAGCGAGGAACAAATTTTGCAGACACCCGTCTCATGTGCAAACCTTCGGTTAAAATTCGCTGGACTGTGCTCCATGAGATGTTCGTTTCCTCAGAAAGTTGGTCAATGGTCTTTCAATGATCTTCATCAAGCAAAATTTCACACACACTCTTTGTTCCTTCTGGTCGGCCATCTCACTAATCGCCAAAGGGTTGAAACAGGAATGCACACAACAGAGCACCACAGACAAACCACTTAACTCAGACTGACGCCAGCTCACTAACAGTCGCGGGAGACCCCCAGCTAACACCACCTAGCAGCACAACTCGTAACTACAAAGCATGCGCGCGCAACAGGTCGGTTCCAGTTATTTTTGGGTCCCCCTTCGTATATGGGACATTTAATAAAAATGAAGAAAAACATTTTGTGACTTGCATGCCAACACTACAGGTGTTTTTTACTTTGCAACAGTAGCATTCATTGTATCTGCAAAAAATGAACAGTAATTCCAAGAAAAGGGATTCATTTGGGAAATATGTGAACTTCGCAATCACAGTGAGGTGTGCATTTGTTTTTTCTCCAGTTCAACAGGCACAAGCAAATCAACAGCAGCAGATGGCACAGCTGCAATTACAGAGACAGCATCAGATACGCCTCCAGCAGCTACAATTGCAGAGAGATGCAGTTGCACAGAAGCAGCAGCAGCAGCAGCAGGTTGTTGTAGCTGGGCAACGGATACAGGTGCAGCAGACACAGTCCCAACCACAGTCAGTACAGCAAGGGCAGATACAGTATCCTGCACAGGTGAGTTCATGTTATTAAGATGGATCAGATTATGGAATATATTAATACATTCATTATTTCATTGTTAGGGTTTGAATGCTTTCTAAATTTTCAAATGCAGAGTTGCCTGAAACTATGAGTATGATGCTCACGAAGAGTAGTTTTTGGGGTGGGAGCATAACTGTCTTTGGAATTGCATGTGTATAATGTGTAGAACACTATTTGCAATTACTTTTATACACAAGTAACATATTTTAAATCAAATAATACTGAAAATTTGTCACATCATAATCTAACGTAAAATTTTTTTTTTTTTTTTTGCCTAATTCTTCCACAGTCTCTTCTTCAGGAATTCTGTATATGCCCTATGTTCCATGTAGGATGGAATGGTTCTAAATGGCACAAATGCACAAAAATTATTCATGTGAAGAACATTTGAAAGTGTATATCATATTAGTTTTCTTTTCTCCCTCTGTCTCCTTATTAATGTAGAAAAATAAATCCCCCCCTCCTGGAGATACCTTCCAAAGTTTAACATACACTACACCATTTAGGTGAAACATTAGTACTTTGAATATCTTGTACATATTTTTCAAAATAGGAAAATATGTAACCTTTCTTATCTCTCCAAGAGTTACATTTTGTATTTGCCATTTTTATCTACTGTGTGCCATTTGAGGAAGGAGGTTGGGACAGATGGGTAGGTGGATAGATAGTTTGTTTTGCACTCTGCATAAGAGTTTGCACTGCAGTCTGTGGAACACTTTTTACTGATCTTGATGTTTCTTTTCATCTACTCCCTCTGGGGTCTTAGCCTTGCACACATTTTTGTAACATTCTGAATGTGTTTTTTTTACCATTGTTACTATAACATGAACTCAATGTAATGGTCCCAGTGAATAAAGAAATAATCTCAGACTTGTATAAGGGGTGGGCCTTCTTGGCCCTTGCACCGCGACCACAGTCATCTATTGTGCCTAAATATCAGACTTAAACCCATGCATATAAGAGCAAAATAACAATTTTTTTGGAGTTGTCTCTCCAAGACCAACACATTGTATGATTATTGTTCCTTTGTATGATGAGTTGCTTGGAAGAGGTGGTGGGACAGACATCATACAGACAGGTATTTGGCTATTATGTATATGGATTTTAAAATGAAGTATAAAGTGTGAAGTGACTGTGTGAGTTTTCGCCATATGTATGTTCACAAAATAACTTATCAGAGAACTGCAGTTACTTGTTATTTTATATCTTCATGACTGAACAGGTGTAATTGAAATATTCAGAAGTGCCCAGAGGTACTTGTAAATCTTACCAACTGCTGTCATATTGTGGCCGTGTTTTGTCTGCAGGCTCTTTCATTTTTGCTGAACTAAGTTTTGTTGTTTTCATTAGGCTGCAGAGCAGTGCAGTGAAGCAGTTGGGGTTTGTTTGTAATGGCTTACAGGTTCCAGTGCAGCAGCAGATGGTGCAAGGCCCAATGCAGTCTCCACTTCAGCAACAGCAGCCACCGCCTGAAGCTACAGATGAGGTTGCACACCAAGAACACTTTCAAGATTTAAAGGTGATTCCTTCATCACAACACATTTATGTTCATTGCCTCACATAGATACCACTGGTGTTGCAGGAGTTTACATTACTTGTTTCTTTAAGTAATTTATTGGCATTGTGCTGATGGAAATTTGTTGTTGTTTTTTATTTTAAATAGTGGCAGTTGTTGGGATGACACTGGGAACTATTTTAATGCCAAACTTCTGTCGTAACCACTAGTCAGTCTGCGTGGTGTACATACAAATAATTGAAATAACTCTGCTAGTATATGTTCTGACTTGAATTTTTTTTTTATTTTAGTGGTTAATTTTTTAATTCCATCTGTCTGTCTGCACACATGAAACAGTTTGAGAGCTGCTGGTTACACGTTCATGACGTCTTATATTCGAGAACATCACGAAAACTTGTATTTAATTTATATTTCCATCAGGCACTTTTAACTGCCACTTTACATGAAGATCTGCATAAGTTTTCTGCATGTGCTTTGAGTGCTACTTGCTAAATATATACCAGAATGAAGAAGTTTCACACGAAAGCCGTAGAGAAAAACCAGACACATCTTATGTTCAGTACACTTTTCCATGAATATTGTGGTATTCAGTGTAATAAAGAAATCATGTGCTATACATACATTTCCAAATTTCTGTTGGTTTATCACATTTCTTTTATTATTGTGGTTTTCCCCATTCAGTGTTGTAGATAATCAGCAGGATACAGAATATGTAATTCTTTGATTTCTAAATGCCCCTTTTGATGTGGTTTGAATATGCTTTATGCATTCTTAATTTGTCCTGACTTTCCCATGCCTCTCTTATTCCAGTTTCACCACCAGTCTTACTGCATTCTTCCTGTACACCTGTTTTGTGACAGCCGCTGTTTCCCCTTTCTGTGTGCTGTTATAGTATTGTCCTCTGAGTTTTCATATGTTCTCAGCACATTTTTATTCTTAATGCTCTGATCTGGTACAAATATATTTCTTGAATATGTTTTCAGTGTTAAGTAAGCCTATAACTTTAATATTATGTGTGCACTGCTGTTTTCAACTTAGATACAATATTTAATACAGAATTTGTAGGCATATATATGCTCTATCTCCACACCAAATTTCATATACCTGACTGCAGTGATTCAGTAGTTACCATTGTGAAACCAAAAGCCAGAGTTTGTACAGCCACCATTTTATTGCCTTGCATTTTACACACACACATGAATGCAAGTGTGCACACACATACACACATTAATTTTCAGTGATCTTTGCCATTCCACATGTGGAAGCCGGTTAGAATACCTCCACCATAGCCCTGTGACGATGACGAATTGCCTATGAAATCACATTGTGTTATAATCCAGAAGGCCATAATGTAAATTTTCATTGCTGTAGATCTCACACCATAATCGTTTCTTTAATAGAATATGCTTTTATGATTTGTAGGCTGGAGTTAATCAACAAGGACAGCAGGCATCTCAGCAACCACAGCAACCTCTTGTGGTAAATCCCAAAACTAAAACAGCTCTGGCAAATATGCTGAGCATACGGCTGCAGAGTGGAACTACAGGCACACCTCACTTGTCTCCACAGCAACCAGGAGTACAGGTAAAGTGTGTGCAGGGCCATGCCATAACTCAAGCGGTTAGTCACTGTCTTCCCACTGTGGCGGCCCGGTTTCAATCCTGAGTCTGGTCAAGTGGGATTTGTTGTGGACAAAGTGGCGCTGGGGCAGGTTTTCTCCGAGTACTTCGGTTTCCCCTGCCGATCTTCATTCCACCAATTGCTCCACAATCACCCTCTCCTATTATCTGGGGCTGGTACAATAGGCCAGAAGTGGCCGCAGTACAAGGGACTTAGTCCCACCCCACTAGCAATAAAAATAAGTGTGTGCACCAAGACTTTGGCCCATTCGCATTCCTTACAACTGTGGTCATCATGAAGTTTAGCAACGCTGGGGATCAGCTGCTAGGCTAGGTATGCCCACTTTTTTCTTCTCACATTACTCGCCTTCAGATATGGTAATTTTATGTTATTCAGGTATCTTTAGTTTCCATTATAAGAAGGTTTTACTGTATACAGATGTAGGGCTATGTTTTTTACACTCATACCATTCATTCCCCGTACAAGGAAAAAATACAGGAAGATAAAAATATAGGTGTGTAGTTCTTCTAACCAGAGCAAGACCTCTAAAAAACTGTAAGAGAAGAGAGTATACATGAAATCTTCCTTTGATGTAGGTTTCATCCTTTCACTTCTGTTTTCTAACATAGAGGTTGAATGGTTACCGCTCCTACTTTATTTTCAAGAGGTCCTTGGTTTAGTTCTTAACCCATGTGTTAGCTGCCCCAGACCCCCCCCCCCC